CCATCGACAAGTTTAAGCGTTTGAGAAGTTTTTTTTCAAGTAACATTAACATAAAATATGTTCTAATTAGCAATTGGTTCTTAATGGCTTTTCGTCGTGACCCTAGCTCGTTACGGAATACATTTTTTTCAGGGTTTGAATTTCTGATTATCGTAGATTAAAATTGATTATTAATTGTTGGATATGATAATTTTTATTCTGCGATAACTGTTGCTGGATGAAAGTACTCTTAACCGTATTATTTAGAAGAACTATTGAACTAACGCATAGTTATTGTGAACATTTTTAGGATAACAAATGGACACTTTTACCATTGTCTCTTAGAGTATAACTTACACGGGAGGACACGATAAATCGTTATGGCTGGTCAAAGACGTTGTGCGTTTTGTTATTTGTTAACATGTTTGCCGTACTGTTCGAATTGAATTTGCTCGAGATTGTCTTGGCTAAATCCAGTGATGGTGTATTATTATCAATTATATACTATATATCTATTAAACGGAGGCGGTGCTGAATGACAGTGTACGCGCAAACTGTGTCACGTTTCACATGATCCGAACCCTCGCTATATCGTTGATCGCCGCTAACTATTGGCTTCCTCATTGCATTAACCACAATGACGACGTGCACTCAGCGGCGGCTCAGCCCTACATTACCGTTTCGGGAGGGAAAAAAATCTTTACCTTATAACACTGTACACACACATACATACGTATACGTATGACAATAATACGGCGTGCAGACATGTCTGTCCAAAGGGGACAACCGGCAAATCGATTTCCTCTCGCACACGCGCGGCCCGATGGCAACCTTCTACTATAATATGCCTTCCCCTCCGCCAGCAATCGTTTATCTTTGCCAACCGTGGAATTACGCGGGCTTTTAGTGGACGATTAATCACGATGGGGGTAGCAGGGCCTCTGAGGTCGCGTGTAAAACGGGCCCATACAAGGGGGAAAAATCGTGGACGGCACCCCGAACGTGTTCCCATATAAAATTACAGTGTGGTGTATACATGAAGAGTTGGAAAAAAAAAAAAACGTTTTACAAATTAATGCGGACCGCCGCCAGAGTGCTTAGCCGGGGGAAGGTGGTGGCGTGGGGACGATGTTTTGAATAATTTTTACAAACTATCTTGTTCGCGGGATTTATTAAACGGTATGCGAGGCGATGGCGTAATTACTTAATGGGACCCATTCGTTTTGCGCCCCAAAGGCTGCACCCGAATAATATATTCAATTATGTTATACAACCGCTTAACGGTTTAATGCACGCACGGACGCGTTCGACTCAATCTAAAGCTAAATCTGTTTACACGGCGTACAATTAGTGTGTTATTTTCAAAATTCGAGTAGATTTGTTGTTGTTGTTTTTTTTTTCAGTACAAACGTTTTGTTCCGGCTTGAACCACTGCACTGTCGTTTAATGTATTATGTTTTGTTAACTTTTTGCAGACATTAAAATTGTAAATTCTAGTCGCCGGCATTAACGTTTAATTCGAGTACGCCCTCGAGCACCTGCTTGGACGTTGTTAAAAAAAAATGCGATATCCGTTTGAAAACAAAATAAATATATATATTTTTGATTTGAAAAACACGCTTTGAAAAGCCACTCGGCCTTTAAATAGCAAAACATAAATATATTATATATATTTTTTTTCATGGTATAAATATGTAGTGTAAAACGCATTAGTACCGCCGGTAATTTTTTTTCTATATTATGCTTAATACTTTTTTTTTTTTTAAGTTTTCATGAAACGCTTTTTATGAGAATCAACCGTGCTCTATATGATGCTCGTAAATTGCACTATAAATGCACGATTTAAAAAAAATGGATCGGGGTCGTTTCGTCAAAGAATCATAGAAAAAGTACAAAAAAACAAGAAAATATGCTAGCGTACAACAAAAGCTTGAGGTCAAGGTTTTTGAAACACAATAATATTATATTAATATTTAAATGTGAGTGTGCTTGTGTGTAAATACATTTTACTTTCAAAAAAGGCTTCGTCATTAAATATTAATGTTACAACGGGTATTTGCTATTATTCCAAGGAAAAAAATGTATTCTTAAAAATGGCTCTTATGTCTTATGTCTATATTGAGTATTCATACTACATTTGATATATTCTACATCTATAAGAACAAGGGTGCAATTACTAGTTCATTATATTTTTTCACAAAAAACACTTCATAAAATATTTAGTAAATAATAAAATAAGCCTAATTCAATATTTAAAAAATAGGATGTGAGTTTGGGCAAATTAAGAAATTTTAAAATGTAAACATTTTTAAAAATATTTTATCCAATTTTGTATTTTTTAAATATTCCCTTAACATATGACACATTTTAGAAAATCTATAATTAATTTTAAGAAAAATAACTTAAAATTTAATATTGTTTCCAATCAATTCTTATTTTAAATTTACCTGAAAATGTGTGTGGTTTTGTTTTATTGACCCGATCTAATTTACCCGATTGACAAAAGAAAAAATGTGTATGGTTTTGACCTATGAAGAATGTGCGGTTTTGAACGACAAGTGTGTGGTTTTAAACGACGCGCGTTTAGAAATGTAGCATAATGATTATTTCTTAACGTTGTTCAATCATCTTTTTTCATTATATTATTATTATTTTTTTATTCTTGACTATCATGATATATATTGTCAAATTCACTTAACACTTTTGACTAAACACGTTAGTTATTTTTTAAGTACTATTTTTTTTCTAATGACTAATTAAGTTTTTTTTAAATACTCTAAATTGATACCTACATAATTAATTTTTAATCTTAATTAAATCTTAATGCAAAAAAAAAACAATTTTTCTTCTTGTTATAAATTATAAGATGTTAAAGTATGTTAAAGTATTAAAAGAAGTGTGAAACGTCTTATAATTATATATTATTATAACTTTTATCTATAAAGTGGCCTGTCACGTGTTCGTGGTTTATTCACTTGTTTGTTTCTACGTAACAACATAATTTTTTAAAGAATAGATTAGCCGAGTACTTTATGTCGATATAAAGGTTATCAATTTTGTGAATTTTATATGTCACAGCACTTTGGTAATTTGAAAAGTTTGTTTCCAGACAAAATACGTTAGCGTTGGAGATTGGGTTGCTCTATATAAGAGGGATCGGGTTTTCATACTTCATCCGCACTCATTCATCTCGTTTAAATCTAGTTTTATCCGATGTGTTTTGAAACTTTCAGTGTATTATTCCAAAGCGACGTTATACATATTTTAGTATATTACAATACGTATATAAATGTCAATTTTTTTATCTTTCTGATTTTAACCTGTGAGGTATAACGCACCACGTTTATGTTTGATTAGGACCATTTTATATACGTATGTCGTATATGTATGTATACCTAAGCTACCAGTTTCGGTGGTTTTAATAAGGTTAGTTCGGTAGACTAATTTCTTCGCATAAAAACGAACGATGTTTGTTGTGTGTACATATATAAAATCGTATGCAAGCTAGTATAAGTAAAACGGGTCTATTTTACCTAATATTATCCTTATAAGACTACTTTTTTTTATAGCTCTTCGTTAATACTACAATTTTCTCTTTAAAACGTTGTTTGATTTTATTTATTTTTTCGTATAACAGAAAAAAAATAAAAAAACCGCCAACACAAAAAGATATATGTTATGTGGATTTTTCGTAGAAATGGGTTGAAATAGTTTTTTCAAGCTTTTTCCATTTAATCATTATATTTTTTTAATACAAATAATTCACATTAAGTTTTACATTACATTCGACTAAATTGTTCCTCTTAATGACAAAAGTAATAATAGTTTTCACTTAATGTGAATATCTGAATTCGAATGGTGCTTAAATAGTCATCAATTTTCCAAACATAACTATAAATTTAAACGAGATGTAAGCATTACAAGTGATAACTCCTGAACAGTATTATTTATTATTTACTGTTTACTAAGTTGAAAAGGTCAAAAAAGAATTATCTCTAGGTCAATCCATAAAAGAACACATCCCTATGCATTATATTGAAATAGTATGTTTAATTCTTATAAAATCCATGAAGTGAATAGTTTTATTTACTTGTGGGGTAAGATAAGAGTAGGTTCTGTTTTTTATTTAGCAACATTTTGCATAAATTAAAAATATAGTAGTAACAACTATTACAAAAAATTAGTTTTTAAAGTACTCTCATGTATAATTATTTTTTCTACTGGTCCTATATATAGAAGTAAATGTAAACCGGGAGGCACTATAACCTGTCATTCTACAAAGTTTGTAATGGGCATAAAAAATATAGTCTTAAATAAACAAAACCGTAAACATTTAGCACCAGAGAAAAAAAAACTACTTAATTAAAATGTTTTTTTCTACTAAAACATCAGTGCTGAAAGTTATGGAAATCTATTTATTTCAATGTTTTTATTTTTATAAAACTACAAATTATTTGAAATGTATAATAATTTTTTATAATGTAATATAAGTATATACTTTGTGTACGATAAAAAAAAGTACCTGTAAGTTAAGAAAAAATAAGGTAACAAGACGGCGGAGATCTTCAGAAATGTTTTAATCCAAATACTGTGTATAAAAAAATAGAAATAAAAAGTTTCAACCCCACCAGAGGAAAAGGGTTAATTTTTTATATTTGACTTTAGATTAGTAGAGTTGTGTACAAATAATACAAATTGTAGTTATTTTAACGATTTTTATTTTGAAAGACGCCGCTTTTTAAAACTGAAAGTATTTTTCTCGATTTTGAACGCATATTTTTATCAGACATTTGGTCTTAAAAATTACCCAATAGACGATTTCTGATCTATAAACTATATATATGAAGGAACAGAATTTGTTGTGTGAAATTGGGGGGGGGGGGGGCTGTAACACCAACATTCCTAACTCTATTTCTAATTTTTATCGTTAAATGACGATTATTTATATAAAACTTAAACTATACCAATACAAACTGCGTGAAACCATTATTGTTAACTAAAAAATTGTTAATCATTTTTAGACTTTGAAATGGTCCAATGGTTGATTTGGTTGTGCTACTTGGTAGCTTTGTGCCATGGACTTGCGTTACGCCATGCCAGACATCAAAGTTCTGGCTCGCCAACGGCAGAAGACATATTAGAACCTCAAATTATCAGTCATGATCCTGATCGCGTTTTTAGACAACGGGCATCGGATATGTTTGCTCAAGAACCCGAATATACCGAAAAACGAAACATAAACCACAGACAAAGGTAATTCGTCACGTCCGACACGACTGAACAACATATTATTATTACTAATTGTAAAATGTTGTCTTATGCAGCCGGTCTGAGTTCGAAAATGATCGTGAAAATGCGTTTAAGCCAAATGGAAACGGTTATGATTCATTTCAAACCGACGACCCGTTGATTATCCGTACAACCAAGGGCAAGATCAGAGGAATCACACAAGCAGCATCAACTGGAAAGTTGGTCGACGCGTGGCTAGGCATACCTTATGCACAAAAACCATTGGGTTGGTGGTTTTTATTTGTATTGCTATTTTTAATTTAAAAAGCGAGTTCTTTAACTTGCAAATTGTTATATTTCAGGAAATCTCAGATTTAGACATCCCCGTCCTATTGATCGATGGGATAACACACAGCCGGAGACTATTATGAACTGTACTGAACCTCCTAACACGTGTGTTCAAATCTTTGACACGGTATTCGGTGATTTCCCAGGGTCGACAATGTGGAATCCCAACTCTCCCGTGTCCGAAGATTGTCTTTACATTAACGTGGTCGTACCAAAGCCTAGACCACAAAACGCAGCTGTAATGGTTTGGATATTCGGAGGAGGGTTTTATTCAGGGTCTGCTACTTTAGACATTTACGATCCCAAAATAATGGTGTCCGAAGAAAACGTTATTATAGTGTCGATGCAGTACAGACTTGCGTCGTTAGGATTTCTCTACTTCGATACCGAAGACGTGCCCGGAAACGCTGGTCTGTTTGATCAATTGATGGCCTTGCAATGGGTCCACGACAACATCAAGTTCTTTGGCGGAAATCCAAATAATATCACTATTTTTGGCGAATCCGCGGGCGCTGTTTCCGCTTCGCTGCACCTTCTGTCGCCGTTGAGCAGGAACCTTTTCAATCAGGCAATTATGGAATCTGGGTCGTCGACAGCGCCTTGGGCAATTTTGTCTAGGGAAGAGAGCTTCAAAAGAGGACTTCACCTCGCAGAGAGAATGGGCTGTCCGCACGACAGAAAGAACATTGGAAAAACTATAGAGTGTTTGAGACAAGCAAACAGTTCGGCAATAGTGGAAAAAGAATGGGACGAAATGGGCATTTGTCAGTTTCCATTTGTCCCAGTCGTCGACGGTGCTTTTCTCGACGATTACCCACAGAAATCGCTGGCAACCAACAACTACAAGAAAACAAATATACTGATGGGTAGCAATTCCGAAGAGGGTTATTATTGGATCATTTATTACTTGACAGAGTTGTTTAAAAAAGAGGAAAACGTACTAGTGTCTCGTGAAGACTTCATTAAAGCTTTGGGGAAAATCAACCCACACGCAGACGCGGCGGTTAAAGCCGCCATAGAGTTCGAATACACCGACTGGTTGAATCCCAATGATCCGATAAAAAACCGAAACGCTCTCGATAAAATGGTCGGAGACTATCAATTTACATGCAACGTTAACGAATTTGCACAATCGTATGCCGCAGCTGGCAACAACGTGTACATGTACTACTTTAAACACCGTTCGTTGAATAATCCATGGCCGAAGTGGACAGGCGTAATGCATGGGGATGAAATCAGCTATGTGTTTGGAGATCCGTTAAATCCATCCAAAGGTTATGAAGTTGAAGAAATTGAACTTAGCAAAAAAATAATGAGATACTGGACCAATTTCGCAAAGACGGGGTGAGTATTTTTTTTTTTTAATTAAAAAATAATTGTTATTTGTAAGTATATAAATGTAGAATTTTACGGCGTAAATCTTTTTATCACAAACAGGGACTTAACTAGGGTATAAAATATTCTTGACAAAGTGTATTGGTGTTCTTAAAATCTTTAAAAAGAAAAGAGACTACCTTAAAACTAAAAAATAATATACTACTACTCATTACTAAGGGTAAGTACTTAGTTCCAACGAAAAAAAAAATCAATAATACATTTTTGTAAAATGTACAATACACCATTTACATTCATAAACAAATTAGTTCCATAAACTGTTAATGGATTATCGTGATTGATCAAACGCCGTTCTATACGAGTAACTAAATTAGGTATATCCCATTATAAGAATATACCATGTATAAAAAAGCATGTCTAATAAAACTACTTACTTTTATTAGTTTGTTTTTATTTATTTTAAACAAAACGATTTATAATAAAAAAATATATTTTTCAAACTTGTTTTAATAGTTTAAAATATGTTTTTTATTGTTTACATTTAAAAAAAACACATTTTTTTCAATTTTGTCCAAGGTATATTTTATACCTTATAGGTATTTTTTTTTTTTTTTTTTGTTATTCTTCATAAGAACCAATTGTTTGAAATAATTAGTTTCGAAAACTAATTAAAAATAAATAAATACGTTTATATTGCAAAAGTCAACTTGGCAGTGGCGTTCACAAAAGTTTCTCATCAGTCATCACTCTTGGAGAAATAAGGTCAAGGACGTAGCAAGCGTGATGAACTTTGCCTGAGCCCGGCGAGTTTCAATCTTAAATCTGCTAAAACAAAGACGCCATTTTTAGTTTTTGAGAAATTTCTGTATAGAGCTTATATTTTTGACACAATAAAATAGTGTTTTAAAACTCAAATTTTAATCAATCGTCATAGTTCTAATGCAATTTATTTTCTCGGTCAGATATAAATACACTTTTGTATCATTTGTATAAAAAATAATCCGACTGCAAAGCTGTTCTGTTACATTAATAACAAAGAATAATATAGTTATACTATATGACTTTTAAGATACTAAACAATTTAAGGGAAAATTTTTAAATAAAATATCATAAATTGTAATATTATTAGGAGAGAGATAAAACTTTTATTGATAATAATAATAGCAAACTGACCAATTCATTGGTTTTCACTAGCAAACAGCCTACTATCATTACTCATATCGTGGAAACAAAAATTACAAATAATTTGTTAATGAATATAAAATTTACTTATACATGGGAAGCCAAAAAAAAAAAATAATACATTTTATGACTAGTAAAATTTTGTCGAACTACAAAAAAATATTATTTGCAAATCTTTCTTTCGATGGAATGACATTTTGAATCATGATCATGTGTTATGGCGCTTTCAATCCTGCACAATCAGCTGATTCGGTCCATACCTACTCCTCCGCATTTTCTTCCCCTCCTCCCTATCCTGGGGCACAATATGTGACAAAAGTGATTAAAAAAAAGCAAATTTTTAATAGAACCCCAACCACAAAACATATTCATGTCAATATAATATAGATACGGAAAACCTATAATAAATTGTAAATAAATACTCGGGGCCTTGGGCATCTCCTGATATGATTTTCTATTTGTGTTACCGATTACGATAGAATTGTATGTATTATCTATAATTTGTACCAAAAATCAAAATATAATACTTACAGCACTATACTGATGTTTTCCAGAAATCCGAGCAAGACAATTGACGGCTCGTGGGTAATTCCAAAATGGCCAATCCACACGGCTTACGGAAAAGAGTTTTTGACATTGGACACCAATAACACTTCTACCGGCGTCGGACCTCGATTGGAACAATGCGCATTTTGGAAAAACTACGTTCCCGACATTACATCGATTTCAAGTAAGCCGAATTCGATTTATTATAATAAAAACATTTTTAGTTTTTACTATTTTACACATCAACCAATTGTTAACTGTTTCTTTCGACAGAGAGTATGAAGGCTGATAGGAATTGTACTATGAGCGGAGGGACCAAATTGTACATGACGAAGTTGTCGATGGGGATTTTCATTATGACCACTGCTGCTTTCATGCTGTGAATTTCTTTTTGTTTTGTTTGAAGATTATTACCGATATTATTTATAATATTATTGTTGACGAAATAACTATTTAAAGAAAAAAAAAAAAAAAAAGTTTGGTGCCTGTCGTAAGACGCAGCTTGTTAACATACAGTATCATTGACCGGGTAACTGGTAGTAACCAGAGTATAATAATATAACTGATAGGTCTATGTTCAGTATAGGTTAAAAGTTGGGCTTCCAGCAGAAACGTATGCGCGCAACAAAAGAAATATTATAATAAAATAGTAATAAAAAAAAACATATAAACTTATATTATTATATATAAATACATATTTATTTTCTTCTAAAAATTATTTCTAGATCTGTATTACTGTAATGTAATAATATTATTATACTATTTATATTATATACGGCAATATTGCGCTAGTTCTTCTCGAGCGACGTTGGCTATATTTTCTCACACCGTACTTAGGCTTAACAATTTTGTACCATGTAAATAAAATATGACATACAAATTATTATTATTATTATTACTATTATTGTTTAAACGAATCCTAAAATACACACAAGGAGTATAATATAATATAACGATATATTTATATATTATATTATATTTATACACTGGTGTATGACATATCATTTCGTACCTTACGATAAATACTGTGTAGATTTTAGCGAGTTGGTTATCAAATATGTAATAATATATATTAAAGCCAAATTATAATATTATAATAAAATTAAAATAAACACCTGCCACCTTAAAAAAATCCTTATTTTATGTCGTGGTCCGTATTAATTGCATCGTATTCTTATTTTAATATATATATATATATATATATATATATATATATATATATTATATATTATAATTAATATATTATTAATTATTATTATTATATTATGTACACTATATAGCGAACCACCCGCGAAAATACATTTATACGAATATTTTGCTTAAGACAAAAATAAAGTCAACCATTGCCATGAATACAAATCAAAAACTAAAATAAATTTAAGATCACTATTCACTATTACGCTGATACATTATTCAAGTGTATATAAAAAGCATTATAAAAAATACTATTAGATTTCGGAATATAGTGTATTGATCTATGTGGTAGATATTATATTTTTCATCTTTTATGGACCGCGGTGGTTTATCTTCTTTTTTTTTTTTTAGAAAAATATTATCATAGATAATTTATAATATAGTTGTTAAGATTGCTTTTATTAATTATTAATTTATTATTATTATTATTGTATAACTTTCGTATATTGTTTTCCATGTTCTATATTATTAATTGTTGTTAAGCGTTCATTATATTATTCTTGTTTTACTTTATATAAGCTTAGTATATTTTATCAAAAGAACAATTAAACTGCCATCAATTAATCGTTTCTGTGTGTAATAAAACGGTGTTTAAAAAAAAAAATACAACAACGCTTCGTTTTTATTTATTACTGTCGACCCTTTTTCTATTTTCAAATACAATTGTATTATGAACTATCCTAAACATTAAAGTTTTTTCCTTGTTATTTTTTTCGAAAACCGAAATGAAACCCGATTGAATTTTTCATTTGTGGATTCATAATTCGACAGAAAATAAAACACTATTTCAATTGAATAAAAAAACTCGATTAGATTCATTTAAAATATACATACCTATAAGGCTTATAGTAAAAGCAATGACCAATCATTTATGGATATACTATATCTTGTTATTTCTGGGCTCCAACGATATCCATTATCCCTTGATATTACTTTATAAGACTTGTACTTACATACTTATAATAATAAAATAAAATAAAAATCTAACAATCTGACCTCGCTTTGTTGCCAAAATCTCTTTTTTTTTTTTGTTAAATTTATATAACAACGCATACCTAGTTGTGATGGGAGAAATCGGCTTTTGAACTAATGATTCGAACGTGTTTGGTCAAGTTACTTAGGTTTCAGTTGGGGCAAAATAAGGGATCAAAACTAGAATGAATCAAGAGAGATACTCACTCCGCACTCGTTGTGTTTTGATGAATTTTTACTTTTCAATATACCTAACCTACTTTTAATAGTAAACATATAATCATATTCTTCACTCCTTCAAAAAACAATATTATTGTAAATAATTATTAATTAGCATAGTGCCAATGTATTTACGAGTGAGCTGTAAGTCAATAATTGAATAATTTGCAAATTTAGATACTGCATAAGTAATGGTTAATTATGTTTTACAACTCCAACAACGAAATTATTGTACCTTGTTTAATAATAGTAATACCAAAAAAAAAAAATTATGACTTGAAATCAGGAGAAAAATCAGCCATTTTTCAGCCGAGTCTGCAACCACGAACAAGCATTTTCATGTCTCGTTGAAGTATCGAATAAATTTAGAGTAGTGGTGGAATTATAGATAATGATATAGTATATTAACAAGCGGTAACAAGTTAGTATATTAAAACGTCAAGTTTCTGGCTAAAATTGTAGTGTTTATTATCTGGCTTAAAGCAATTCATAGAGAAATTGGGCCCTTAAACTGTTTTGATTTTATTATTTAGTTCTAATTTGAACGTTGAACGTACAACATATCTCTTAGCTCCTATATCTTACCCCTATCACCCACCCCCTATCTCATACCCTATCACTTACCCCTATACCCTACCCCCTATCACCCACCTCCTATCTCCCACCGACATACTGATTCGTTATGCTTTTTTTCGGTTATGCACCACAGCTAATTCCCACCCCTAACCCCAACCCCATTCCCACCCACAGGAATACCGTCGTTACAACTATGTGGTCGTTATTGAGACTGATGAATACCAAATATGATTATAGATAATTTAATGTCCTAACCGAAATGTATACTAAACGAATACAACTAAAACATACTGTGCAACAATTTGTATTTTGCAACGATTTTCAGCTGCGTGTCCGTTGTCGGCGAATAGAAAAAAAAAGTTTTTTTTGCAACATTTCTGACATTAAGATTTACAAATATAATGCAAATTACAAAGGTGAAGCTAATGGAAATACATTTTTTGTTATGATTTCTTTTTTTAACTTTTCATTATGAATTTATTACAGGCATTGCAATAACACGCTAAAATCCGGTCAACTGGATGCAGGGAAACCTTGTTGGCACAGTCTATTTCCAAGTATTTGGACGCGTCGTTCTTCATTTGCAACAGTGCCAATTTGCAGGCCGGTTACGCGGGCCAAGACATCTAGAGCGTGATCGGAAAACTCTTGGGAGCGGCCAATTCCTGCGTAATAACGCATAACGCATACGGGAATCGCATTCCTGGACGAAATCGTGATTTGAACAGCTTTGGCCTGGACGTCAAGTCGGATAGCCGCAAAACGTCCATCCCCGGGATATTATCCTGTCTTGCCCGGGCTAAGACGTGCCTTCCACCGTCTTGATATAGTAATATTATTAATACGTAAATGTTATAGTTAAAAAATACAAGGTGATTTTATTTTAAAGTTATCCACTCAATATCTCGTCTTCTTCGCCTTCATCCCAACTATTTGAGATCGAGTATACTTGTCCTGAACCTCCACTCGACACGATATTCGACAACATTTTTAACGCATACATCAGCAGTCATCCTATAATTCGCCATTGCATCCAACCACCTAGATTTTGGCCTTCTCTTTCTCTCTTACCTCCTACGTTTGTTTTCATTAACATTCTTATTGTTTTTCCATTCCTCTCTCCTCGTGACATATATGCCCAAACCATCTTAGTCTCTTTTCCTTAATTTTGTCTGCTATCGAAGCCACGCCTATGCTACGTCTTATCTATTCGTTTTTTCTCCTATCTTTTCTAGTCCCGCGACTTATCCACCTAAGCAATCTCATCATTCGCTGTTCTTCTTTCCAGTCTACCACCCGACACTCCGAACCATTCAACGCGCTCTTGTAAAACTTGCCTTTAAGCATTTAAATTTATTTAATATTTGTATTCCTTTTTTAAGATAAACTTAGAAAAACCTGCAATTAAATGATCAAATTATGAACAAGTTTATGAAATTGATTCCAAAGCTATAACAAGAATATGTCCAAAACTTACAAAAAAATCATTTTCAAATAAACAACTTTACAAAAATGAAAGTCAAATTTTCTTCACAAATACCTTATAAAAATATAACAATAAATAAGAGTATTACTATTTACTTATATGAAATAGGCATAACCTAACAATATTTGTTTATAAAGATTTTTAGCAAATCAGTAGACCGATGGCCTACAGTCCTTAAAAAAAATACCCAGGGTTCGAAGAACGTGAAGAAACCATTGTACTCTTACAGTTAATATTAATAGCCGGCTTTTGATTGGGCATAGTAGGGGCAGGTATCTATCTTGCTAGTACAAAAGAAATGTGTTTAAAGGTTGAAAAATATTTGTTTATTTTTTCATATTGTTGTATATGCAAAAAGTGTACGTATCTATTGACCGATTCTAATCAGTAATCATTGTATAAGCTTAAAAAAAAAAAAATACAATTGTAATAAATCGTTGTAGGATATCCAGCAGCTATGGTATTTGCGTATAGTTAATTTGTTAAGTAACTAAGTAAATACTAAACATTGATTGTTTGAAATAAGTCGTTTGTAAATTATTTTAGTTTTTTAAAAAATCCAAAAATGTATGTATTAATTATTTAGTATAACGGAAATTATTATTTTTAAATATTTTACCACTTTTTATGTACGACCAAAGTGTAGTAAAGAAGTTTCAAAGTGCACTGGTTGGATTAAGTAAGCAAGTAGGGGTCACTGGTAGTAAGTCTATAAAAAAGAGATTACCTAGACCTAGAATGATATTATAATAATAGGACAAAAGTTTGAAAAACCGCCTTTGAACCTTAAAATCCAGAAAAACATAAATTATACATGTTTATTAATTTTTACAAATACGGGACCCTATAATTTTCCAAAAAAATATTCACACGAGTTTCAATTTTTTTTATTTTAGTAACAACCCTTTCTTCCAGAAGAGTAGAGCTTTTTTCAATTGTCACGGGTATAGTTTTTGCACTTAGGGACTGAGCATTGAACTGGTAGTACTTATATCAAGAGTGCATGTAGCTGTAAACTATATACATTTTCAACAACCTTTTTATCAAGGAAACCCAATAACCTTATACCTACACGTCTAAAACGACTTTACATTCTATCCAACGATTTGTAGGTGAATTTTTCTATTTGTGTTACGAGTTAGGCTTGGATAATTTTATGGATATCCCATGGTAAAAACAAAAAAAATTTAGGCACTAAAAAAAATTTGTACGGAACACATAACGCTGGCTTATAATTATTATAACATAGTCAAAAACACCAACTTCAAAATACATTAGGTACCTAATATTTTTTTTGTATGTTGGTATTATGTTACTGTAATTTGTTTCTTATTTAAATATACTGTAACTAATTAACTAATTTTAATACCATTGTAGTATAATTCTACATCTTCACATGTGTTGATATTTCGGACACTATGAAAAAGGAGTAGTGACGCTTCGTCCAACGAAGAGCCGAAAATGAAGTCGATGCCAAAATTTTTTCAACGTCCAAAAACATCACACAATTTTTTAAACTATACTAATTTATAACTATGACACAAAAATAAAAATTACAAAAAAATATATTTCAAAATCAAATAAATTTCATTTATTTTATTTACAGTTTTTTTGTTGTACAAATATATTAAAACTATTTTTTCTATCTAAAACAACTAGTTCGAAAACAAAAATTGACTTACAGCACAATAGTATTATTATTATTAATTGAGATAGTAAACTTTTGTTTCTAAAGAAATTTACCGTGTAGTTAAAGGTAAACACACGAAAATCTCTATAATTTAGTAGTTGAAATGTATGAAGATAATTTAAACACGAACGAATTGTCGTTTAATAAAAATGTTATAGTTTCGCCGTATTTGTAAACAGAAAGATAAATTTCCATTGGAATTAAATTTTAAGTTTGAACTCGGTAAGTGAAAAAAAAATTCCATGTTTTGTGTTTTTTCTATTATAGCAATTATTTTTTAATCATCAAAAAAACCATTTACACAATATTTTAGTATTTTTAGACAATTATTCTGTTTCAAAATACAGGTTTTTTTACACTTACAGTATCCAAATAGTATTTTTTAAATAATGCACTTAACACAACATACGTTTTACATATTATTTTGTTTACACCTGTAATTTTTATGAGCTACACACAGCCAATCGTTTGACTAGTTCGTAAGGAAAACAGTTAATTAAATAAAGCATCTAAGAGATAACGATTTTATATTGTCTTGAAATTATTTATTATAAGGATGGGGAGGGTGGAGAAGAAATTAGTTACAGTGTCTATTAAAAAACAAGCAACAGTGGTAAATTCAAGCAAAAAATATTTAAAATGTAAATATAGTTTAAAAATGTGAGACTATGAAAAACTATTGTATGATTCTAATAAAAAAACTTCTTTTTTTAATGCGTACAAATGTATTTTTTTAAACAAAAATAATGTTTATAAAAATTTAACAAGCTTAATTTATCATTGTTATGAACAAGTTTAAATTGTCAACTTATATGAATTGAATAAGTATTTTACTAAACAAAAAAAAAAAACACTTAAGCATAGAACACTGGACAAAATGTATCGTTAAATAAAAATAAATTACAAAACACACACAAAAAAAAAAAAATCATAGGAACAATGGGCTAATGAAACAATTATTTTTTTGTTAGTCTGTTTAAGTACAAAATAAAATAGCACGATTTGAACTTTTAGATATTTACATTTTGTTTAATGACTAAAGTGACCACAAATTAAAATCTGGGTACGTGTACGGGTATAAGCTGTTTGGTTTGCCTTGAGACCGTGTTTTACTATTACATTTATGAGACAAATTACCAGTCAAACGGTCCAAGAAGGACTGGACGGTTTATATAACATTCCTTGTTTTTTTTTTTTAAAACAACAATAAACTATAAATGTAACAGAATGTGATTTACATTGTTATTTTTAAAGGAATGTTAAAAGAAAATGTTATTTTATAGACTAAAATAAAATTTATTCTTGTATTTGTGTAATTTATAATAACTAGCAGTGACGTAGTCGTTAGGGTACACGCTGTGCTTACACTCAACGACTACTCTACTAATAACAGCAGCATACAAGTTTCATCAAAATTATTACGGTTACGTTTTTTTTTCCATACAAAAATATACTCTTACGATTAATAATTTTCACCCGTAAATGAAGCACTGGCGATCTTGGTTTTTGTAAAAATTTCTAAATTAATATTGGGATAACGGAAACATTACAAGTATATATAAATTATTTTGTTTTTTTTTTTTAACATGAATCTAATTTTATAGGATCCACTCAATTTAAACTTACGCTAAAAACAATTACTAAGGAACAACAAATAAAAGAGAAACAAATCATCAGGATAGCATACTACAATATAATAGTATTTGGTTTAACTTAAGAATCGTATTAAGTATTTTATCAAATAGATACCGATAATAGTAGGAATTTAGACCAATCCTGGTATGTACAAGTTATTGGTATTGAAAAACGACCGTTGGGTAAGAAATTGTAAAAATATCACAAAACCGACCATGTAATTATTACAGTGTACGTATTTTCTATTATCTATTTTGGTTTTTTTTTTTTTAAATAGATACATTTTATTTTATTGTCTATTTTCCTAATTTTTAATTTAGTTCTTTAAAAAGTTATTATAATTTTGTATAGTAATTTTATTTTATTAAAAAAAAAAAACTGTTGAAAACCAATAAGATTTTGCTAACTGTCTTGAAAAAAATTTAAGTAGTGCGATTTCTTTATTAAAATAATATTATAAAAGGCAATTTTATTTTCTTAAACATTTTTTAACAAAATACAAAAATTTTATGTTTCGTTTGGGATGGCAAAATGGCGTATTACATATAGTATTATGTAACAACATAAAATATGAAGTAGGTATTTAGGACTCACATGATTTAGTAATTAACTAATACTAATATTATTATTATTATTATTACCTACTATCTATGATTAAGGAATCAATTTTCCAAACTTAGATGTCATTTTTCAATAAATTATAAGAAGGGTTAGATGTTTTGAAAGAAAAATTATTGCAAACGCTAATTTGAAAACAGGAACAAATAACCTTTAAAATAAATAAAATAAATAAATAGGTGATAATAAAAATAAAGTACATAACAATTTTACTTTGGTCTGGCTGTTAAGAGACTAGGAATCAATTCTAAATAGCTAAATCTTTACTAAGCAAATTCAGAATTGGAAATAACCAACCCAATTTTCTTTTGGAACTTTTACGAATGGCGATAACACTTTTTTAGTGTTCACAATCATATAGAATTTTTTCTTCAACATGAAGCATTTTGTGATTTACATAAATCTGAATCTCCAGCAGTCGTTGTCTTTGGTTGACTACTGCTTGTACTAGCATCATCTGAAAAAAAAAATAGAATTTTATGTTATAACAACATTAATACAATATACTTTAGGGGGGTGAGAAGGTACTCCTTTTTTTATGGTTAAAATCGGTCATCGTTTTTTGTGTACAACGCATAGAAAAATAAATAAACATATTATTACCGTTTGTCGTCAGTGCTTGCAGACGATCAGGTAAATCGGCGGTGGTTGTAAGTTTATGTTCACCTAATATGTCTGGCAAAGCATTGCGCCTTCCCGTTCGTCCTGTAGTTAAAAAATCTGGACTGATATCCACATACTGGCTCTGAGCAGCATCTTTATCTGGATTAGTTGTCATTTCTGAAGCTACCATCTTCAACGCTGTATAGAAAGAAAAACAACTACAATAAAGTTATGTTCTTTTAATGCTGACTAAGAAGTACATATAAAAAATAATTTATAATTAAAAACTTTTTACACTACATTACAAATCTTCATGCCTTAATATTAACTTAATACAACACAATTTAAAAGGGAAACAGTAACTGTGTGAACAAATTTTGGAAACAACAATTTTTAAACTTGTATAGCCCATAAATCAATAAAAGGATAACTTCTAATATTGTTACTTAATGTTTTGAAAATATTTAGTCATTTAATAAGTTTGTCACTCTTTTCCATACAAATGCAGTCGACCAAATATCTTCCTTTTAGTGTGTGTCTATTGACTGTCCATTTACTCTATATCACGTTTCTGAATACCTTATTTTTTCAAAAACCAACAGTAGATTCAGACGAGTTAATTTTTTAATGATCAGTAATATAATAATGCACTACAGATAGAGTACAATTTGTATTACTACTAATACATTATACATTTTATTTTATTATACGGGAAATACTGTTAACATACTACTGTGATCTTGGTAATGAAAATTAATTATGGGTTATCGACTATTATGTACTAATTAGTACATAAAATAACAATATAGTAACCGTATGCGTCATGTTAAGTGTACCCAAATTAAATGTAGACTGAAGTAATACCATTATCACGCTAATAGCTAATAAACTGAAATAATATAATTGGAAAAATGAACACCAAGATAACATCAACGTGTTAACGATCAATCAATACATGAATATTAAGTAACGAAAATATGGTAAAAAATAATGGGAGAAGAAAATTTTATATTCTAATTATAAAACTATATAAAAGATATACTCGATAGTACAATTGACACTATATAGAAACTTTTTGGCTTTGTACCATCGCTTTAGGTAAAACGTTAAGAGAACGTAACACGAAAAGGTAAATTCTCGATGAAAACTGATTATTAAAGAAAGACACTGAAGATGTCTTTATAAAAGTTAAGAATAAATAATATGGAATAAATAAAATCACCTGTTTTGTTAAATATATTCTTACGATGCTTGCGAAGTATTTTGGATTTGTCGCACAGGCCCAGGTCGACCGGTTCGGACGTCATGACGATAAAGTGTAATAATAATATAATATTGTACGTATTAATACTAGAAATACGGCTAATGGATAACTTACGGCGTAACAATATTCATATTTATCGTTATTAACAAACTGACCGCACTGCTACGGCAGAACTTTGGCCGCCCATATCGCAAGACCAAAAACAACTGGTTGTTCTACAGCGGTGGTTCACGAGCAGTCATAATATTTTTATCTACACACCAAATCGCGTACACATATTGTGTTTGCCGGTCGTGTTCTCTATGGCAGTTGTTTTTTTTTTTTTATTCGTTATCTACATTCGAGCCAGGCGTACCGTTTTTGTTCAGTCGTTTTTAGTAGTTGTAGTAATAATAATAATAATAATAATAATAATAATAATAATAATAATAATAATAATATAATAGTAGGCGTCGAGGTTAAAAGCCCGTGTCGAACGAGATAATAAGAGCGTTTCGACCACGGTGGGACATAATATTATTATATTATTATTATCGACAGTAGTAGAGAAAAAAAACCATCAACAATAACAAACAAACTACAATGATCAATGAAAGCTTTGACGAAAAAAAAAAAAAAAAGTGTGAAACGCGTGCGACAATACAAACGGCAGCGGTTTTGTATGCCGTGTGTGTGTAGCAGCTGCGTATAACTCACCTAAAACTGAGATCTTAACGGCGACGCATCTTTTTGCGTGCGCTTGGCGCCTGCTCCGCACTTGTTTTGGGTATTTTTGAAAAACAAGTGTCAACAATTATTTTGGATTTTTTCCTTTTTTACCTCTGCGCGTAGATTTACACACCGTAGGCGACACGTCGACGACGGCGACAGCGACACCGATAATAATACAGTCGGTGTATTATATTATTTTGATTTATTATTTAAAACAATAGGTATGACGACGATGTTGTGGTTATCTTCGACCGACAAAAGTCATAAGTCAAAACACACAGACTCGAGCGCGCACACACCACACGCGACAGCAGCTGTTATTGAACACGCGCGGCTAATAATAATAAAACAAAAATAATATGATAATAATTATATGATTTTTTTATTCATTTATTTGTTTGAAAAAAAAAAAAATAGTTTTTCTTTTAAGCACGAGTCTTTGATAGCAGACTCACTGGCTTCAGCGGCCGCTGCTGTTGATAGCTGCTGCCAATGCTGGCTACTGCTGCGGCGGACGGCCGCTGTGTGATAAAGGAAGGGTCTATAGACTATACCCCATGGCCGACGGGCACTGATTAATTGTTCCACAACGTTTTTCTCCCAATGAACAATTGTTCCAAAAAAAATTTTCGACGAAAATATGAATATCCGAAACAATTAATTTCATCGACAAAATAATAATTACTTGTACCAACAACCATTAGTTTCATAAAATATTTTTTCCAAGGTATATATTTTTCTCTCAACTGTTTTACAGTACCGACTGGTGAATGACAATAGTGCTAATAAACATTTGATTTACTTTGGAAGCAAAACAAAAGTGTATTTGTAATTTGTTATAACAATATGAAGTGATTTGTTGTATATTAATTATTAAGGTAATTCTTTTCAGTTAGTTTTAAATCACACCAGGGCCGCTGATAACAACAAAAAATGATTTTATTAAATATTTAAACGCCCTTTTGGTGCAGACTATGCCTAGTGTCAAGTTAATTTAAATAATGTTGGAGAATTGAGCAATTAACTTGGGCAAACAAGAAGTATATATAAAAACTTAAACCCATATGTGAAAGTATTCCACGTTTTATGTGACAATCCAAAGACAACATTAGTACATTTTATTTGTTAATTGTTAAAGACAATTGCGGATACTATTAGAAAGCTGAGTAGTACCCAGAAAAGTCTAAATAGACTTTTAAACCGTATATATTTGATATATTATATTAATAGATACATGTACATAAAATATATGTATACTACACGTCATAATAAGGTCTTAACGAGACAACCAACAGACATATATGCAATTAATAAATTTAATAGATGTAAGATAAAATGTTGTAGTATGTGTTTATAAGATATTTAAGTTTTAGATCTAAAATCCAATTATGAGGCATTTAGACGATTATCTAGATTCTAGATCATATAAATAGCTTCTAATTATTGGCTCTAATCTAAATAATCTGTAATTTCAGAAATATTATCAATAACTTATAATATAAATATTGTGTCATCACAAAGGTTTAAATTTAGCTGGGACCATATTGTCAGTGCTCGGTATACATATTTACTATTAAATAAAAAAGAAGTTATCAACAATTATGCACGTACCTACATATGTAAAGAAATAAACATTACGAATCAATGTTGAATATACAGCCGTCATATTATTTACTATTAAAAAAAAAAAAATGTTGATTATGGATCATCCTTTATTTTACGTAAGTATTAATAAGAAAAAAATAGGTAAGATCACGAAAAATTTAACTGAGATGGTTGCTCGCGTTTTAAAAGAATGGAGGAGTCGTCAGGACGCACTCATCAAGACTACTGTCGTCTAAAGTAAATGGGGCTCGGCTGGCTATTTCCAAGAAGAAACAGTTTACTGACATTCATCTTCAGCGTTTTATTTTCTTTAATAGCTGTTTGCTCGAGTTTGGTTAACCATTACAATACGTTACTGTTTTTCATACACGGCCAGTGTGGGAATGAAATATATATTGAAACTGCACATATTAAAAATCTGAAATAACACTTATTCGTATCGCGGACGGTTGATGGTCGAGTGTCGACATGTTTGAAGTAAGATTCTACTACAGCTGTTTACATACAGCAGAAATGCAATGTGTAAATAATTGTTCATTATATTCACATGACACATTACACCTTGAGTCAATGCTATTGCCGCGGATGAAAATGTTTTGTCTATATTTAAGATTTTATCTCTTATTATTAGTAGATACGTCTAAGTGCAGTATCTCCACAGTCCACTTATCTCGGTGAGTGGCAAGTGAGCCACTAACCGATTAGCGGCTTGTGCTACAATATTATTGTAGCAGCTACAAAGACAACGAAAATAATTAAAATTTGACGTGTCGAATTTCTCGCCCATCGATTATAAACTCGTCTACTACGTTAAAACTGAAATATTATTAATGTATTATGTTCAATTTTAATGAGAAAATACACTAGTAAAGACTACACCCAATGTGATAAGAGATAAATAAATAATAATAAAAAACGTTGTTTTATAAACATTACGCTACCTAGTCTTGAAATTATATTTAAATGGAAACAGTACTACAATTATTTGTTAAATTTTTATCAGCTTGATGTTTTTTTTTAGTATACTACAACAATAATCGACAATGTAATATAAATTGTGAACAGTATATTTGTTTTGAAGCAATGTTAAATTTAATAATTAATATATATAAAACAATTTATTTTAAATCCTGTAAAATAAAATAAAATATAGAAAGACCAAAGAACAATGTTTTATTTAAGTTAAAATGTTATACAATGACAATTAAACGGTCATAAAAAAAAAATATATAATAATAATAAAGTGGAAAAAATAAATTAAACATAATATTGTTATTAATTAAATTCGGTTTACAATAAAAAGAATATAACAAAACAAAATCGTGTTCGAGACAAATTAAATTACAATGGATGCAACTTAGTAACCCACAAATATCTATATAGTATAAAAATTGTACAACATGTTTATGATAATACCCTATAAGATTATTTGAAATATATTTCCCTTAATATTACTTAAAATTAAATTTAACATTTCTACAAAAAACATATAATAGTAATAATAATAATAATAATAAAAGAATAAACCATTGAAGGTTGTGCAAATATAACATATTATACTTGTATATACAAAATATTGGTTTCACGGCATACAAAATTTAACAAGAAAAAAAATGGATATAACTATAAAAACTATATTTTTAAACAGTTAAAAAATATTATTAAATATTTAATTTTCATTATATTTTTTAATTCAAAGATAACTGCTTTGTTAATGTTTTAAAAAGCCGGATATCAAGCATGAGTAAAATACGACTCACGCATAGGGCTGATAGCAGCAAATGAAACAAATATAATTAGATACGTAGAGCTTAATCAACATAAATTATTATCAATAGTATATATATATATAGATATACATATACATATATATTATAGAACGAAGAAGTACAGTTCATATTTCAATCAGTATATTTCGCTATTACCATATTCTGCATGGTCACTATCATCTTCATCATCTTCTTCAGATGAACTAGAATCATTTGACTTGTTTTCAGAATCGTCGTCGTCATTATCATCGTCTTCTGCGACTAATTCGGGTTTTCTTAGTTTAGCATACAGTTTTAAGTCCTCGGCAGTGAGCGAACCCAAAAATACTTTCAAATTTTTCATGTAGACTTTTTTGAGTGATTTCAGTTCATCTTGATAAGCTTGTTTTTTATGATCAGATAACGCATTCCACTCTAACAACGCTTGGGGTTCAAGTTGTTTCTTAGACTTGAACTTTGGATTATTTTGGAATCGACTTTTGAATAAATCAAATGGTTTTTTAAATGGAACCTCTGAAGGTTCACCATCAAATGTCTTAGTTTTTGCATTATATATAGAAACCTTTTTTTTAGATGCTTTTTTTGGTTTCTCTGAAATTCCCTCTCTGGCATTTATACGGGGTACGATTTTCGGTTCTGTCTTTTTCGGTTTGGCTTTCATTTTATTCATTTCTAATTGCCTTTCTTCTTCTGGTAATGTTTTTAGATATGCATTGAATTCAGTCCAATAACGGTCAGTGATTACTTTTAATTTGTCAGTGTAGATTTGTTTTTCTTCCTCTGAAAATGATTTCCATTTTTTCGCAACAGTCGCCATTTTTTCTTTTGGAGGAATTCCGGCAAGAGAATCGCCTTGTAACATTTCTGTTGAGAAAAGACTATAGTTGTTTACAGGTGGTTTTTTGGGTTTTCCTGACTGAGATTCTAAAATAATCCTATCTCCTTTGGTTAATGCACTCTTTTTTGGCATAGTGAATGCAGGGTCATCTTTGTGATCTTCTTTCAAATGGTCTAAGTATACTTGCTCACGTTCATTGGCTAATTTAATCCATTTTGATTTTTTCTTCTCAGTCAGCTTTTCCCACTTTTCTTTAAAATGGTTAACAATTTCATTTTTTTCTAAATTCCCTTCAAACCCTTCGGCCTTGGATTCCAAGAATATTTGAAACGGGGTCTTGGGTTTTTGCTGCTGTTCTAATGACTGGGGTTTGACGTAACCCACATTTGCCTTGGCCATGAGTTGATTATATTCAGTCTTTAATAGATTTGCCCTATCAACAAAGCCTTGCTTTTTATCAGGTGATAAGTTTTTATATTTTTCTGCTATAATTTGTGTAAGTTGTGGTAGCTTCATTTCAGGATTTTTCTTTTTGTACTTGTGAAAAATTTCAGTATAATACAACATGTAAGCTGTCTTGGGTTTTTGAACACGATTTTGCTTGGAATGATTTGTATCAATACCTTTGGTGGCCAACAGATGTTTTGCGTCTTTCACAAGATCACCCAATGTTTTTTGCGTTCTCAACTGGTCTTGTATCGCCGTCCATGTTGCCTGACACTCTTCTTTATTATAGTTATCAAATTTAACTTTGTCCCAATCTATTTTCGGTAATCGATTACGGAACACAAGGGTATCATTTTTTGGAAGCACCACTTCCAATTGAGTTAAAAGCTTTTGAATATCATTGTTGGGCCAACGGATGTTAGTCGGTATTGCATCTTTTACTTCTTCATCGATTACACCATTGTCGTGTTCAGATTGCTCATCTGACTCATCGTTTGAAGTTACCTCTTGTTTAACGACATGTTTTTTCTTTTTGTCGGACCTTTGAACTGCTTCAACAGATTTTCTTTTAGCCATTTTAGTCTGGAAAACATAACGAAAAATCAGTATCCAATCGGATATAGTAACACAAAAGAATAATACAATTACATTTTTTCCAATAATATAATATTTAAAATTTTAAGTAGAATTTAAACATGAGCTGTCACATTGTAAGCTTGTTTATTTATTACTTACATGTGGACTGAGAGTAATTCAATACAAATAGAGATCATTTTAAACAACCTAAATTTATTGCTAAGAAACATTTGTTATAGCTAAATGATTATTATTATATATTATGATAGACAAAGTGAAAATAAATTATTAATTTTATTCTGTATACCTCAGTTTTATTTCAAAGGACTGATTTCTATTTCAAGAATTTTAAAGATTAGGTATTTACGTTTACCATTACGTTATATTTGACATTTGTGTATATTAACTACTATTAGTTTCAGAACTCCTTGTAAAACATAGTGGTACTAATTAAATCTGATAAATTGTTCTGAAAATAAAATCTGTGATTTCGTTTTAATCGAAAAAAACTGGTTAATCAGAATTACTATATTAATAATCAGTTAATTTTTTTAAATAATAGATAAACAGAAAATAAATTATAGGTTTTTTGATTATTTGAATAGCTAACATTATTCTAAAAGTTGATTATTAATTAAAATTTAGTTGGTATCGGATGTAAAAAATATAAATGACTACCACAAGTATTGTTATCGCTAATAGATCTACTACAGTTAATAAATTATTTTTAACTAGAAAAATTAATTTAAAAAAATAGCACGAACCTACTAATAGTTATTTGCAGTTTACTCTTATTATAGTATGTATTTTTCATTTTTTTTTTTTGAACTATTAAAAGTTTTAAACAAAGAATAAATCATTGTAAAATAAAGGCCACATGGACACATCAAACCCAAAGCACTACAGTTTGTTCAATTTATGGCTAAAACTTTCATTATTTTTAATTTTCTGCTTAGGTTTGTACGATTAAATACACTATAACACTAACACTAAAAAAGGAATACCTATACAGGCGACTTACCGAGGCAGCGGCTGCTACACCAGGTTTACCTTACTTGGAGCAAATGTTAGCATGTAACATGAAATTTCACAATATGTATTAACGTGTAAATGGAAAATAAAAACTAGAATAAATAATATTCAGATGGGTGGCTACCTAATAAAAATTGGCGTCGAGTTATTGTCGCAAGTATTAATACAATGGTCATACGATAAATAATTCCCAACGGAGTGTTGGATTTGTTTTTTTTAAAAATTACTAATCATTACTTAACTCCGGAATGCAACAGGCTATTCGGCGTAATGCCGAACACATCATGTATATCTAAATTCAATTTTTTATCAACGATTTCTTTTTACTTACTCGTTAGTGTTGCTACAGCAGGAAGTCCTAAGCTTGTCGATAAAAACAACAACGTTACAGTTGATGGCGAATAATTTTGAAAACCGATTGAAACTACAGTACCATAATAATTGTTCTGAAAATTCCGTTACAAAAAGTCAAAAACGTTAAACGACGTGTGAACCGCGTAAATCGCAAATCTCACGAAACGAGAAATGTTGGTATGATAAACCATTTTTTTCAATATTTTGTTTACACCATTAGCTCATGGAAGAAAAAAACAAATAACAGTCTGACGACATTTTTTCATCGATGGAATTGCTTAAACCTACTGGGCAATCGTTTGTGACCAAATAATAATTATTGTTATTCATTATTATTCAATTACAAGCATAGAACGATAAATAAAATGAAAAATTCAGTTTTAATTGATCGCCAGATTTATACTTTATTTGTATTACAAAACAATCATCAACTTTATTTGTTGTGTAAACTGCATTGTACCTATAACGTATTAGTCAAGAGCAACCAATAGTTGACCACGGTCGAAGTAGTGATAACGACAAATTATGGCGGGAATACTATTAGTTACAACATAATATTAACATATAAAATTTGAATCCCCAAAAGAACAATTTGACCCTAATTTTAGTATGATTTGTCGCTAGCCACATGTAATTAAAAAAATATTTAACGACTTTTTTTTTATTAGCGTTCACAATTTTTGTTGTCGCCAAAACAATGTGTTTATGTTTTAAATACAATCCAGTCGTTACTTGTTATCGTAAACATTTTTTTGCACATTTAGATGTATAATAATAATTAAATAAATAATAACTAGGATATCAAAATAGTAAATTGTTTAAATTCTATTATAAGTAACCTTTGACATAATCTAATATACCTTAACAGTACTTAACATAAATTATACTTGGAATTATATTTTATGCTGAGTAATTAAAAAAAATTAACACATTTAAAAAATGTGAGAACCAAAATATATCCGTTTATGTTTTCGTTTTACTATTTGTAAGTCATTACAAATAGTAACATTACTCTAACACACTTAAAGGCTTCACAACAAAATTAAATCGATATTATGCTGAACATTGGACGACAAAAGTAAAACACTTTATTACTAAAATTTAAAAGAAGGATAATTAATTCACATGCGGTTTAAACATTAACATAAATAAACGGTACTATAATTCTGAAAATACGGAGCTGGTAAAAATTATATATATATACAGGTTTTGGTAAGTAATTTGACTCCTACTCGATATCAAATGCAACTAAACGTGAAGGCGTGTATAGATTTTAATTAAAAAAACAGTAAAATGTTCTTAATTTGTTAAAGCTACAGTTTAAAAATTAAGTCATATTTAAGAAATGTATAGTTAATTTTTTTTTATATACCAATAGAGGTGCTTATTCTATTTTTAAATTAAAAACTAGGTTAAGTTAGGTTTGTTTTTTTTACTAAAAAAAAATTAGAAAACTTAAAAAACAAATTAACGTGCTATATGCATTTTCGTATTTGCTCCAAAATCTTGTACAGTGAAATCTTTCAATAAAAAAAAAAAAAAAATCTAAACAATAATACGTTTAGCAAAAAGCAATTTTACCAATATGTATATTTATATTAGCATATGGCATCGGCATAACAAAAAAAAAAAAATTAAATAGTTTTATGTAAATAAATAAATAAATACGTAAACAAATAAATAAACAAATTATTAAATAAATAAGTACAGAAAAGTTTTTGGTAACTAAAAATGATAACTAATAGGCGGACATCCAAGTTGGTTAACCATTCAGTTGCGGCACTTCCACCTAAGTGAATTCCAAGCACCCCTCCAGCATATTTCTTCAGTGGGCAGGATTCTACGATGTGTTTTATCGTTTGAAGTTCTGCGCAGTCACAAAGCGGAGACTCAGTCATCTCCCACTTGTGAAGCAGGTAATTGCACCTACCCTGCTGAGTCTTAATTCTATTAGTTTTAGTCCAAATCGTGCGCGGAAGTTGGAAACCTGGAAGTTTCTTAGTAGGATATTTGATGAGTACTGAGTTGTTGACTGTGGCTTCCGTCCACTGCATTAACCACTGATTGTCCATGTCCAAATCAGTACCAAACTGATTCCCAAACCGAGTTTCTTGATTTCAGTCTTTTAGCTGGGTGATTGAAAATTTCTGTGTGAGCCGGAAGGTTAGGGTTTTCTTTTATCTTAAGCAGTAGGAAACAGGTTGCTGCTTATCTTCTTAAGTTAGTCGGTGAAATGTGCGCTAAGACTGGTAACCAATGAGTTTGTGTACTTTTCATAATGCCTGAAATTATCCGCATTGTATGGTTCATCTGTGTGTCGATTTTCTTACAATGCGCGCTCCTTGACCACGTGGGCGTGCAATAATCGGCTGCGCTATAGACTAAAGCCAGAGCTGAAGTTCATAGTGTGTTTGCTTTACATCCCCAACTCGTTCCTGCCAGTTTAACAATGATATTATTCCGTGTTTTAATTTGTGAAAATTACCAATAAATCTCTAAAACAAACACATATACACACAATAAATACAATAAATACAATTTTAATGAAACGAATACAGCCTAACTTAAATATTAATTCAATTTGCATATTTTCTTTGGTAACTTTTAAAATATTTATTTATCTAACATATTTATTGATTATATGTACGGCAGAATATGTCCGTATTATACTTCAATTAAAATGAATCTAGCATTGTTTTAATTAATTTTGTTCAGTAGGGCGTTTAGACGGTCTGTTCTCAAGTGGAATTTTCAAGGTAGAGTTAGTTCTCGGGATTAAAAAAGTAAATTTTTATTTTTAAATAAATCAACAAAAATGTAGCGGTTTTGCATTAAATTAATAAAATACTTACCTACACAAAACAACAATTTTGAATACAAACTTAAGTAATTAAACAAGCTTACTTTATAAATAGCTTATTCTGTCAACTTACTTTAGAATTAAAAGTCAATAGTTTGAAAGTCCTTTATACTTTTATAGCTAATGAAGCCGGTCGTTCTTCCGTTATAATAATATTATGCTCGATTTATTAAGTATGTGATTTTATCCGTTATAACGTGGGATGTGACCTTCCAGTTAAACAGTTATTCACCAACTTAATATGCAATTATGGATTAATCTCTCTTGCTAAATTATGTATCCTTCGAATAAAATTTCAGTATGAATATTAAATATTCTGTATTGACATACCGTGCGCGGTTGTTAGATAATAACCAATAATTATTATTCGAAATTTCCGGTTTACCCAACTGAGTAGTTAGCATTAGTTATGCAATAACTGAAGTAGTAATTATTCAAACACATATAATTTTTGTTTTATTGATAATTAGATGTATTATTTGTTAGAACTTTACATTTTCAATAATAAAAATGAAATATTAAATGATATAAATTTACTGCAATTATATAGGTAATACAATTTTACTAAACTTTTGCTGTTCAACATTTTTAAACAATTATTTTCGAACTTGTTAACAAAAAAATTTTGGGCGGGACATACCGTGTAATGATTTTCTTCATTCATCCCATTACTCAACCGCACTACCACTCCCGTCTAAACTTTAAACGCTTATAATTAAAAAAATAATTATTTTAACAAGTTATTCATTAGTTTTATAAATCAAAATGTTCAGTAGATTATTGTTATTTTAAAAATGTAGTTAATACGATACGATTCAAATTTAAGAAGTTGATAAACTGGAATTTGCCAAAATAGGCAAAATATATTTGGAATTTTGTAATATTCTAAAATAGTATAAGCTGAAATGCCGAAACAGATATTTTAAATTACGTTTTATTATAAATGTACACACTAGTTCTAATACTTAAAAATAATCATGGGTCCAGTACAAAAAAACGAATCATTGCAAAGTTAATGTTTTCTCAGTTCTACAATGAAGCTAAAACTCAATGTACTCAACCGCCATTAATTTTATTACTTACTTCTCCCCGTTTCTTCACTTATAACCCCCGTGGTATTATAAAATAAAAAATGTCGATGGTACTTGACTGATGTAAAGTATTAATCGATCAGTACATTTAAAAAAAAATACATATATATATATATATTTATTTAAATGTATTGTATATAAATATTGTATTTATGCATACATTTATGTTAATTACACTCAGTTCTGTAAATATACATTTATTAACATCAGGTCTTTAATTAAATTATAATTGTGTTGTTTTTCTATTCATGTCCTTGGTTCTATTTTGATGTGACAGTTATCAACGAACTTTAAGGTCGATAAAAACATCAATCGAAGATGTTGAGGCGTTGGACATTTATCCGATGGGAAGAATCGATTTTTTCGAACTAACGTGGACACGACGGTCTTCATCTGGAGCATACCGTATTTTATTCCAATACAGTTTCTGTAACCTGCACTGAATGGGATAAACGCATAAGGATGACGACTGTGGCATACTTCTGGTAAAAAGTTATCTGGATTAAACTTTTCTGGATCCTTATAGTATCGTGGGCTCGAATGCACGCAAAGGGGGCTGATGACCAAGGAAGCTCCTATGGAATTTAAATAGTTGTTCGATGTTAACCTAACAGAGCGACAAAAATCTACCTTAAAGGTTCCTGCTTACCTGCAGGAAGTAAGTATTCTCCTATTTTCATGTCTTCTTCCAAACTCCTACCGAACACGGGCAACGGAGGACAAATTCGCAGAGACTCTTTGATCACACGTTCCAGGTACTCCATTTGCTGTAAATCCTCATACGTAGCTTGTCTTTCCGGATCTCCTATTGAAAATATGCCTTCCAATTCCTCGTAGAGCTGTGAAAAATAAACAGTTTAAATTTAAGTATAGTCTATTGTGTTCTAATTGTTTCGATTATAAAAGCAATAATTACTTTATTTTGTACGTCTTGATGGTGGGCCAACATGAAAATTGTACACGCGTTAGCGAACGCTGTCGTTTCTTGACCTCCTAAAAATTTGGAATAATGATTATCACTACAAAGGTGAATAGGTATATTAAATTATATCTACATAATCTCGTACTCTTTTGTTAATCAAACAACGTATTTATCACATACAACTAGTATAATTCGGTATTTCACGAATTAAATAATATTTTATAATACAAAATATGACCATAATAATAGAACTAGATAATTAGAATAAAAATATGAGTTTCATATTCGATCACTAGATCGTTTCCCGTTATCTTTTGTATAACAATTATAATCAGAAAGTTGAAATAGTCGGCTCGTCTTTTGAGTCATTTCAATTGGTGTTCATTATGTCTACTACATGCTATCATATTCGAATTAAGTGCACAATGGCCTGCTTCGTAAAAAACTTTCATTAAATTAATGATGTTATGAAGAACATTACATAAAGTGGTCATTAAAATTATATTGTATTCAACGTTTTTGAAGTTATGGCACAAGAACAATTATCGAAAACTTCTGTACAACACGGGACGTTTTATCATCCTATTCTAAATACAGTATAATTATGCATGCTGTTGCAATTTTAATTTGTTAACAGGGTTGAATTTAAAATTGTCGATTTTAATCAGTTCAAGAAAACTTGCATTCAAATACATAAAGATTAAAGAGCTTACCAATTATTACGGTTACAATTTCATCTCGTATTTGATTGTGCGTCATACCATGATAGTTCTGGATCAAAATTTCTATAAGCGTTTTTGGCTTACGTACAATATCGTTTTCTGTTTGGTTCACATTATTTGTCTGTACGCCTAGTTCGTTAATCTTTTTGCTGATTATGTCATCAGTGAATTCGTTGATTATCTTTTGACTTCGATCGTGTCTATGTTTAACCGACGAAAATTGGAAAAGCATTTTACTTAAAAACCATGGATGCGTCACTCTGTACTCCCATGCCTAAGTTGATAATGTCAGTTTATTAAAGCTGCTGTTTTTATTTAATAATAATACAAATGGTACAAATAAATGTAGTTTACCATCATCGCGATTTGTAAATTTTCAACGAATCTATGTTTGCCGCCTTTTTGAGCGTCAAAATTTACACCAAAGGCTGATCTTCCAATCATTTCCATAGTTGCCATACTAACTGGATGACTTATTTCGCATTCGTTTGTAGTCCTATCGCGTTTTTCTTGAAGAATTGTCGAAAGCAATTGAGCTTCTTCGTTAAATATCGGTATAAGCGATTTTATTATAGTAAAATTAAAACCGGCCGACACAATTTTTCTGAAAGAATAATAAAAAAAAATAATAAATTATACGAGCAATATTTATTGCTCGTATTGAAAATTGGTACCCATAATCTAAAAAAAAATTGTTTAAAGGAGAGGAGTAAAATATGTAAGTATTTTCTCATACAACTTCGTTTTTTAACTTTCGACAAAGTTATAATTAGTAAATAAAAAACTTAAAGGACTCGTATTTTCAGAATATTGTCTAAGCTAAGTGGTGTATCTAATCCACAATGTTATTTCACAGAAAATAAATAACTCTTGAAATTATATTTGACCATTTTTAATACATTAATTGATTATTCTTATAAAACGATTTTCTTACATTTGTTTGTACTTATCTAAATAATTGCTAGAGAGATTTGGTAAATAATTATTATTTGTTTTTTTTTAGTTGTTGTTGAAATATGCATCGTAAGCAATACAAAATGAAATGCTTACTTAAAAATTATAACTGTAATAATGGAATGGAAGTACATTTATTGTTCTTAATGAAATCGGCATTAAATGTAAATATTGAAAAAAGCCACTTAAATGTTTTGGAATGATTTCAGACGATTTACACAAAAGTAATAAAAGGATAGGAAATTTAAAATTTTTAATTAAAGTACATACTATTCGTTAACGAAATCAATGTAAAACAAATATTCAAGACAAGTACAATTTCAGAAAAAATTATTTTGGAGAAATACATTGTTAAAGACTTAACGCTGGAAGAAACGTTTAAAATCAATACTTAGATAAAATAAAATTATGTAATTCATCATTCATAATTATGACATTGTGTCAATTTAATTTTTTTATTACTATATTTGTTTTGTTATATATCTGTATAATATACCCTACTGAATACTGCGTAAGAAACAATTTAAATTTATAATTAAGAGCACGTAAATGAGATATTTCCATAAGTTATTTTTTAATCTCGTCTCATTAAAAATGGTCTTTTTACAATGATTCTGTTTTTATCTATTAATTGGATACGTGTTCTTTTTTAATTAAAAACAATTAGTCACAATTTGAGATAATCGTTAAAGCAGACGACTTCTTTACTCTCTTGGTTATGCCCCAAGAGCGACCCATGATCACTGTATTCTCTTTCGGGTTTTTTAGAAGTAAAAATCTCCAAAAGAATAGCAATGCTACTATTTCTGGAATATATACACTATACTGGAATTTTAAGAAATAACAATTGTTTGTGATAATGTCAGCAAACGATTAAGTTTGATCGTAAAGATTTAGATATAAAATAAAACAATGATAAGAAACGCTCTGGAAATAAGGCTTGAAGTTAATGAAAAAGGCCAAAAGATTCAAAATGAGGTACAGCAGATGATGTACTCGCTGACTGTAACGAATATGTTTTTTAGGGGCAGTTAGCTTTTTTTTTTTAGTTTATATAGACAGTGCAGATAATATAATCATAGACGGATGATGCCATGACAAAGTGTCAATAACATTTTTATGACATTAGAATGAAAACAAAAAGTTATAAAGTTGCAGTTTTAAGCCTAAGATAAACCGAATTGATGTACCATTGAGTTCTCAGGGGAAGGTTAGGTTAGGTTCCCCAAACATAAATATAAATGGATACGAATCTATGATCATCATTTGTCTTTTGTGCAATAATAAAGGAATGTTCTGTATTTGACTGCTGATCGGTTAGCTATTTTGTCTTATGGTATTTATTCTTATAAACACATAGTTATTAGTAGAACCTTTAATATTCGGATTTTCAAAAAAAGAGGGTCCTATTGTTTTTAAATTTTTTAAATATACAATAATATAAGTTTGAAAAATTTTTTTAAAGAAACCCTAAAAGAACATTTGCCGAATTTCATTGATTTTTTCTTCCAATTTTTTTTTTCACATTTTCAACAATTAATTCAATTACATTTCTTCAATTTATATTCAAAGTTAATTATTGAGTGTTTTTAACTAGAAGATAGAAATATGGTGAGTCAGTATAGTACCTAGTGTTTGCACAATATCTCGTGGTTGTTTTGTGGTATAAATGTATAGTTAATCTATTTTCAATAAGGTAAATTATAACTATTAATCACTAATCGAATAAAGTATTTATATTTATTTTTATAAATTATCGCATGATGGCAGCGTTGGGCCTTCAAAGCCTGTTAAGCTACATGATTATGACTTTCATAACTCAGTTTTGATCATACTTTGATTGAAAGTTAATAATAAATGCACTTCTAGCAATACCTTGGTTAAATTTAATGATTTTAATTTTAACATTTTTCCGGCCAATCTGAATTGTTTAACTACTCTTAATAGAAGTATGGTCAAATTTAATTTTAACAACTTTAGACATTAATGTTCCTATAATTACTTTTGCAATTAGGTATTAATAACTATTACTAGTGTATAAGTATTTTATTCGTAATAAATACATAAGAATTAAATTACCTGTTACTTTTCCATTGTTTGATGTTATCGACTGAGAATATGCCTTGTCCCATAATCGACTCTTGCAAAACTACATATTCTTTAGCTTTTTTCTGCAATTTCGGATTAGTAAGTACTGCTTCGATTTCTTCCGGTTTAGTAATCAACACGTATAAATTGTTACAAATCCACATTTTAAATAATGTTTTTTCGTATCTAAAACAAAAATTAATAGCAGTTATTATCTTTTTTATTACTTCACTTTATATTGTGTATCTATTAATTATAAATATCATCGAAACTTCAAAATGGCCATTTTTATAATAGTATGAATATTTGTAAAAGGGTAGATGATAAGTGATAACTAATAGGGGTCTTAACTTTTTTTTTTTTAATTCATTTTTATATCCAATATTATAGTTAACGCGCTTAGAATCTTAGGGCGCTTAGGAGGTATTTGAATATTGAAATGTTTAATTTCGTTAGTTTAGAATTTATATGTAATAATATAGACTTTAATTAATTTAAAGAAATAAAAAAATATGAATGAGAGCTACACTAGATTTATACTATAATATAAATTGGAAAAATAAATTATGCAGCACATAGTCTTAATACTATTTGCTTTTGTTGTATCTGTCATTTTTAATTTGTGTATGTTTATGTAAATTAATATTCTTCTTCTTTTTAATATAAATTATACCGTTATCAGTCAACAAAACTTACTCTCTATATATTATCATTGCTTTTTTTATCATTATTTCTGGCCCTTGTAAAACTAAAGGTAACATCCCAACAAGGAACCATCCATCGGGACCAGGTAATTGATTGGCCAACTTTAGTTTCCTCCGGTCTTCTAAGTTTATTATTATAATTATTAATAAGACTGCCAAACCTGTCATGAAACCGGAGAATAATAAACTCGTGTTATTTAAAAACATAATCTGTAAAAAAAAAAAACATCATAATACTAGTTAATAAAAATAATATTAATGACTAATGAGTTATAATAATTATTAATGATTTATGAAGTGTGAAGTGTGAGCAATTTTAAGACATAAAATGTAGTTTTACACAAGTGACACATACCGTTTTTGTGCGCAAAAACAAAGGTAAGTGTTCTGTGCACATCATACTAATTATCAAATAAAAAATTACACTATCTCATTGATGAGTTTTTTTTTTAAATTTTATAATTATTTTTTGGTTTTTACTGAGCTTAGAAAATACTAAATAAACTGATTTTTTTAATTTTTAAATTTACGAATAAAATATTAACTTTAAGATACATTAATTATAAACAATAATGAAATAGTTGTGTATTTACTTGCTTTGACTTATACGAGAGTAGGTAAGTGACAAAACGTCTCACGGGATAAAAAATTAAGACAATCTCATTTATAATTTTATTTATTCTCTTTAACTTAACGATTTTTTTTTTAAGATAAATTCTTTAGAAATGGTCAAAAGGATTAGGAATCGATTAAAAGTTTGTTGATGTTTATTATTGTTTAAGGGCTTTTCTTAACACATGTCCTTTAAATCCTTAGAATACAACATAACAATTTCTAAGCGAAATTTATAGAAACTCTCTGTTAGGTATCTATAATTGAATAATATTTAAAAAAATAAAATTATGACTGCATTCAAACTAGTTCGGTTTTTAAAAAAAAATTTTATTTTTTGTATGACCGTATTACATCATAAAGGCCATAAAGACAAGATGTGTCCTTTAACCACGTTTAAGGTAGGTAAATTAATATATATATATATATATATATATATAACCGAGTTTCAAAGAATTTAAAAGTAAAAAATTTATCCGTTATTATGCAACTTTAGAGATTTTATTTTAAACGAAAAAAGATAAGAGGCACAGCGACATCGTACTCCTCGCACTTCCTATTATTCAGTTTTAAGTCATAAACTTTTTCGTCTTTTTAGATATTTTGAGTTACGTTAGAAATAAGTAAGATAAATTACAGTTACATAATATTAGAAATTATACCTAATTATCGCTTTTTGTCGTTTTAGATTATTTAAATTCCTAAATTTATTTGATAGTGTACATAATACAGATATACATCCCCTATAATACCTTGCAAGTAGTTTTTTAATTATATAATAGCCAAATTTAATTGCTCTGTAAACACAAACATAATATTTAAGGAAGTAAAAATTGTTTTTAATGTTAAGAAGCGTTAATGGAATAATTAGCTTTTATAGAACAAATAAAAGGTTTTATAACTTTTATATACAATAACTTCAAAAAAAGTTTTACATGTTTTTTAACGCTTTCAAAAAATATTCACAAACTGTTATTATGATATTATAATAAATATTTAACCTAATCAATTTTTTTTTTCCACAATATATTCTGGCATTTTTCGTAAATAATACCCTAGTCGCATCGATGAGTTTTGTTTTGTATTTCTAATGTTATTTTAGAAACGTCGGTGTCTCCTAATTGGAGATAATAAATTGATCGTAAAAGTGAACCATAATGAATCATCTATACGTTTCAGTGGTAGACACTAGACAGACAAAAATGTGCGTTACACCGATACTAGGTACATTAGGTCTAGTAAACACGGCGGCGCATTAGATTTGTTCCGCGTTAAAGCCCTAGGTACAATATATTACTATAGTATTACTAGTTACTACGGTCTAGATTTCAAATCGGACGTTAAAGCAAAATGATGCATAAAACGTTGGGAAACTCACGCGAGGAAAACAGTATAAGCATTACATAATGTTAATTTGGAAATTTATTATTTTGTTGAACACCAGCAGTAAAAATACTGTATTCAACGTAATAATAATACTATTAGTCGCATAAGTATTTACGGACAATAAAGGAAAAGCCTGTCTCGCATATTTATCGCAGGAATTATTGTTATAATGCCTTTACACATTTAAATGACACTAAGGTTATTTATGTATTATATCTATATGTATTTTTTAAATTTTTTATTCTCTTAGCTCACTGTCTTCGAGTGGCCGGTGAGGTCAAATTAAATTTTTTTTTTACATTTTATAACTATTATTATAAATAATATTACGATTATTATTACTATTGTAATTTACAATCAAAGAAGTCCAATATAGGCCATATGAATTTCACTTTTTCAATAGTAGTGTTGGCCATTTTTTATAAGAATTACAGGTACCCGTGTCGGTACCACGGCGGGATGGAATTGAAACGCGGAAAATATATTATACCTATTGTGCGTGTAGTGTGTACACAACCCATTTGGACACGCAAACCGAACGCACATATTGTGAATGTCATTTCCGTCTTGTCCGTTTTTGACTGTTACTGTTTTCTTATGGACATTATTCATGCAGTTATCAACATTTGACGCCAAAATAGAAATTCAAAACGACAATAACAATATAATGTCGGCAAAGCATAATATTATTTTTGAATATTTTTATTTGTAACACATTAAGTCATTAAGTTGTTTGATATCTATATATTTGCAATAAGTATTGCAGTTTTTCTTTCTAAAGATGATATAGTTAGCGATAATTTACAATATTAGATAATTTCCCAATAGAGAAAACATATTGAGACGGTTCTGGCCTGTTAAATGAAAGTAAGAAAGGGAGTAAATAACTAAAACAATTAGAGAGACCATGTTAGAAGAAATTTGAGTTAAAAAAAACCACCTAGATTTGTTGAGCATAATAAATAATAAAATTGTCTGAGCTATAGGTGTGATCTTCTCTGCAATGAGAGTTTTATCTGCGTGCATTAATCAATCACACTGTCTATTGCGTCAAAGAAATTAAAAGCTAATTATTACTCTATAAATAATTATTTAAAACTGCTATTGCTATATAAAAATATTCTTAATTAATTAACAATTAAATTATTAATTTCTTTTAGTTATAAAAGTTGAGAGGGTTCTGGAATGATCCAAAAAAGATAAATATTTAGTCATTTAATAGTATTGAAACATAACAAAACAAAAATATTATAAAAAAAGTGTAAAATTACAACTATTTTCTGAAAATTTAGTGATTTAGTATCTAAAGTTAAAGTGTTCATTCTATGTACAACTAAATTATAGTAAACTTTTTTAAATATAAAAATATCTAAAAAAAACATTTCATAAATTGTTCTTATACTAATTCGTTAGATTGATAAACGTCCAAACAATATTTTTTACTTATTTTTGTCAAAACTGATAATATATTTATTTCTAATCTATCTTTGAACGATGTTGTTAACGTACCAATAGATGTTCGAACTCCAAATATTTTAAAATGTATTTTAATTATACATCGTTTTGTTGAAAATTTAACGTTAAAGTATTTCTATTGGCTTAATTATTTTGTTTTGTGTAAGTATTGTTATGGCAAATTTTAAACAATATAATTTTATTTCGATGTTTTCTAAGTCTATAACACAATGTCTTATGTACTTTATGAAAAGCGAAGACAAAGTTATATTCTACAGTACTTGATTTGGAGAAAAATCGTAGGGGTGGTATTGCTATAGACACAGATTAGTAGTGGGTTTACAGGGTAAAGCCTCTCCAAAGCAATTAAGAGGAGCCGAGACCCTTCCTCTCCCCAAAAAAACAGTCTTATTTAATTTAGTTAATCGGCGGTTATGAGTTTTTACTTCATGAGATTACAAAAAAGGCTGTCCTTACTAAATTATTGAGTTATATAATTATGTAGACGGTTATGTCTTTTATTAGTATTAATATAATTCAATATATTTATAATAATAGTGTACAAACATAGGTCAAAAGAGTATTATAAAATTCACAATGTAACTATATGTTTCGGTGTACGCCATTTTTAGGTTTCTAAAGTAAAAATTAAGTATGTATGAAATAAATACAAGTAAATATGAAAATTAATAATTATACTGGATAGAAAAAAATGAGTATGAACATATGTTATTGTGTAAAGAAAGAAAATAAAAATTCCTCTTTCTACGCGTTCTATATGAAATGAAAAGTCGTAGTAAAATAACAGCGAAGTGGTCTTTATTTTTTCTTTCTTTCTCACAAGCAGAGTGTTGGATTATTTAACAGAATTTGAAAACAATAATAATAACACGAGTCGGGCATTAATAAATACAATTTGATCTAAATAACATATTGTTTGATTTAATGTAAAACCAAATTGTTCGAACGAAAATTGCCAATTCTGGACTTACATCTGGAAGTGGAAACGGTTTTAATGAAAATAATAATATTATTATTATTCGTTAGTTGTTATGCAAATAGAACTACAGTGAAAATTACAACAATTTCTATAAACAATAAATATCTGCAAAACAATACTCTAAATATTTTCAAAAATATATTTTATTTATACGCTGTTTAAAGGATCGAGATTGAGGTCACGCGGGCATCTAAAAATATTTACAGTCCTCTTTCTTTCTTTTTTCTCTCTCTTGCTCTTACTTCATCGTTTTTCTTTTAAAATACATCAATATAAAACATACATCTATTCTACATTGGTTTTATACCGGACAAGGATTTAGTTGAAAGAGATTGAAATTAAGTTAAGAACGTGCAGATAAAAAGTACCATCCACTTATTCTCTGTTTATATTGTGTTACAAACATTTTGAGTGTATAAATAATATGTATGAAAATACCGCTTTTTAAATAAAAAATTGCTAAGAAGTATTATAAAAAAAAGGAAGAATACGTACATAAGGAATAATCATATTGTATTAAGAAGTCATTTAAAATAATCTAAATCTAGGTACTTGTATTTTTCACTTTACATCGGTAGCATAATAATATTATTATTTATTGTGCTGTGTCATATTTAAATCATTATGAATCGTTACTGCTTTGCAGTTTTATATTTTATTTTATAATTTTTCTATAATAGTAGTACTTAACACTCATAGGAGATTAACTAATATTTCAAAAAACCTGATTATCATTGGTCTGAAGGTGATAATAATGTTTATTAATGATAAATTACTTTCATTAATCTATCCGATGCGTATCAGTAGTTCAAACAAAAACCCCATGACTAATAGGAAGCTTTTAATTTTGCTTAAACTATTATAACTATCATTTGTTTAAAAAATATTTTAATTTCTTTCTATAACCCTAGTAGAAGTGGAAAAGATTTTGTAAGTCACGGGTGTGTTGTTTAGAAATAACAAAATTTCCAATGACGAGCTCTCAAGATCATAAAGTCGCACATAAAAAATAAAACAAAAATACTTTTCCGTATTTTTTTTAATTGAATTTACTTAAAGTAAATGAATATACCTACATTTACCTGACTTAACATGTAATTTAAAAAAATATAAACAGTTTAAACGTTTACACGAATACTCTAATAATATTGCCAATTGGTTTTAATAAATCAATCATACTAAGTATAATTTATTTAGTTTAAATTAAATTATAAAAACTACAAATTATTTTTAAGACAAAAGCAAAATAGAAAAATAAACTTATTGTTGAGGTATTTGAACTTTTTGAAGGTTGCTTTACTTTTTACGCAAATCTACTTGGTACCCAAATTTTACATATAATCTCGCATTAAATTTTATGTTAGTCAATTATTCATGGTTTTGTATACTTAAGTTAATTATTATTATTATTTTATAATTTAAATTAGAACTATATTGGTTTTTTTTATAATACTCTTTAGTGATTTACTCATAACTATGTTGTTATGTCCAATCGGTTAACCCTAATTAAACGTTGAAATCAATTTAGCTGTTTTTAAACATGTGCCGTTAATTTATTATTAAAAAATCGAAATTGTAAAAACTCGTAATATATTTTAAATAATATAAATAAAGGAATTTTTTTAATTTGTTTGTAGTAAACTTTATCATAATTACTCTGTTGTTATTTATTTTTAATGTGATTATATTATAAAGTTTTAGTTCTTATGAATAATACACTAATTAAAATAAATAACAAAACTTCAGTAACAGCAACCATCCAACCACATTACACTTAATTTTTAAAATAAAGTTATAAAATAATAATTATATGCTTCAAAATGGAATAGTCCTCAAATATGACGGAACTAAGCGATCGTGTTTATAAACAAATTTTTATACATGGATTACAATGATTTCTGCAGTGAGTGTTTTTATCCTAATAATGTTTAGATCGGTGGAACGATAGTCGAGTAAATTAAAATTCTTTTAAAATTGGTTGAAGATTTAAACTGACAGTCTTTTATAAAAAAAAACACACTTAAGGATGCTTAGGTACTTACAGACTTTTGCGCACTGCTAATAAAAACTTCTCTTAAAAATAAATCTGTGGCTGACTATATACTTAAATTTATTAATATTGCTTCTTTGTATTTAACTGAATTTTATTTTGGATTACGGCTTGTATTACTAAATAAATAAATAGGTACCTAATGTAATTTAAGAACTTTTATTTTAATTAATTTTTTTATTTGTAACCATATAAGTTGGTAGCTTATTTTTAATATAATTGTTTTTTCTTTATCAGATACCATAAAGAGAAACGGTAAATGCTTAAATGATAATTTTCAAGGAATGTAAGCATAGTGTCCTAGATATTTCTAGATAATAGGGTCTGGGATCTTTTGGAATAATATTTATTCTTTTAGCGTGATTCCCTTAAATCATTGAAACTTCCACCTAGTATAAATAATATTAAAATTCTTACCTTTTGTAACAATAAATTCATTTTTCTTGTTTCTCACTGAACTTATTACACTCTATTGTTTTATATAATAGAGCTATACCAGTAATAATACTAAGCGAAGTGTGTGGAATGGGACAGACGCGGCGTTACTACGAATAATAGTGGAATTCGGTCTAGCAGCAACACGTTTATATATATATGTTCCCTTTCCTTGCCGTGCTCTGTGACGCCGGGTTGATATTTTCCCATGAACTTAGTCTTTTTACAAACTTCAAGTCATCAATGGTATTGAATCTGTATACATATCTAAGGAAAATACTTTCTCTCTTTTCCTCTTTGCGCCTCTTCTCCCAGCTTTTTAGGACCGACCATAAACAAAAACACTTGCTTTTATAAAAAAAGGTTGTACTTACATACATACGTCATGTGATCGCCTAAACCATTTACATTACAACTGTATGTACTAAACTCAAACTTCTACCGACACGATATGAGAATAGATAAAACAGTATTAATATATGATTGACATAAAAATAAATTAATATAATAAAAATTATAATGTTTCTTCATAATATTAGGCTGATAGGCTAAACATACTATTTATTAACCAAATGTTAATAATATGTATGTATTTATTATTTTTACTGTACAAAACTATCTAATGAAAAATACATAACGTTTTTTGGAATTTTTCGCTGAATCCAACTCTAATTTTAAAATTGATTATATTACATTTATTAATTGTAAAATGTATTATTATCATTAAATACTTGTTATAAATTTTAGACATTTTTAGTTAAAATAATTATTTTATAGAACTAATTTTAATTACTAAAATTTGGAAAATAGTGGTGGGAGTATCTAAATTTCAAAAGTACTAATTACCCAGATTTGACAATTTCGGCTTTATTTTTTTTTTTAATTAAAAATAAATACAATTATTGTTGTATAAACGTAAGTGAATTCACGTTTTGTATCAGTAGTCTGTTAATATAACTAAAATAAAAATAAACTAGTTACTAATCTATTCGGATTTCGGGAAATTATACATTATGCCGAAATATTAAGGTAGATAGTAAATTGCGTAGGGTTGTTTTATCTTGCCAAAAGGTGGTAGTAAACTGTGCAGGGTTTTTTCATCTTAATAAAAAGGGGTAGGAAACTGCGCAGATTTCTAAGATTTGAAATATATTTGTTGCGCTTAATATTATGATAACTTTTAAATGTATTTAATTAGGTGTACGGTATTAAATATTATAATATAGAATTTAAAAATAAAACACTTAAAATAAAGTCAAATATTTGTTTTTAAAATAAAATACAAAACACAACTTACTAATGTGTATACAGTTACAGTTAGTATGTTATTGCTTTATTCGTATGGTATAACCAGGTAGTATCATGACAAAATATCATGTTATTATACTCATAGTATAGGCATCAATAAATAAATATACCAGACCAGCACAATCAACACACTTTACTCTAAATTTTAATTTGTTTCTATGTAGTCAAATCTTTTGGGTATGACGGTTGAAGTCGGCTGATAGCATTGTAAATATTTTTTTTTAATAAAAAAAATTCATATTCGGTACTAACTTCTAAAACAACTGAACGTTGCATTGAATTTGCCGCAAGGCACTAATGTCTTATTTTTGACAATCGTCCAGAGTGGTGGTCTACAACTTTACGTTCAGCTGCAGAGCTAAGTTTTTATCGCTCTAATAATTTAGTCTCACATTTTTCGTGGTTATGGACTTCATTTAAAAATATTATATTTTTAAGTATGAAGGAACACGTTTTTACTGTACACCTCTTTTTTCTTCGCCGTTCGAAAGTTCGCCCTAGCAACAATATTTAAATCCGTTTTTAATTATGAGACGCTTTCCACGTTCCCTTAATAATATTTCGAAATCAGCAAGGTCCTACTAAAGCTTAACTGAAAGTTAAATATAATAAATTTAAAAGGTGATTGTAAATCTAAACGCCTTAAAATAAATTCCGATTATTTTTTTTTTAAAGCTTAAATTTATTTCGCGTATTTTACCATTATAAAGTATAATCTGGCTATAGTTTAAACTTATTTTGAGTACTTTTGTGGACTCGTTGCCTTCTGATAAATGCCGTGGCATTCTAATTCATTTTTCTTTCACGGTATGCCACAGAATAATGGTTGTAGTGTTTATTATTCAAATCAATTTCGTCGATATTTTCAACTTGTTGACAAGCCGAAGAAAGTAATTTTCGCTTCAATACGAAATTACAAAAGTTCTAACTTACGATGATATAATACTTTTCGTTTACACTATACCATTTTAACCACTATGAAAAAGCTCTATGGAAGACGTTGCAATTTCTTGGCCCGAAGTAATATCGAACATCAAACTATCCGAACTATTTTTATTTTAAATAGAAATATTTGGTAAAATAAATTTTATGTAGCTCAAAATATTAGTGCAATTAAAACAATATCTTAAAATTGAGATATATTTGCTAATTTTTTAATGTAACTTCTTTTTTAATTATCTCTTCTCTCAGAACCTTGTATTATGAAACAAATTTTACAAGGGTATATATATAAGATATATCGACTGCCCCGACGAAAAGGGTCGTATCTCGTTGTTTGCAACTTTTCAGGATGAACCAAACAAACATTCAAATTTAAATTTTTTATGTCTTTGCTATGGCACACACACGGAAAAGCGATAAGAGATTAGAGATATGATTTTTACTTTAGAACACAATCGGAAAAATCGACACCGACACAGACACCGGTTATCATAACGAAAAATAACAGCTGATTTATCTGATAAGAGAGATAAGGGAAGGAGATAGGGGTGAGAGATGAGGGTTAGCGTTCAAAATAGAAATTAATAATAAATTCAATAATTAAGATACATAAAAATGTATCCCGTTGTGTTGCGGACTCGTACGCAAGCTGTTAAAATATAATATGTAATACCTATGTGAAAACCTTTATGCCTTATCTGTTTTTATGTACGAATATAACCTAAAAAAAACATGGGCAAAACTATTTATCTTAATTTATCCAATAAATCTTAAAATGTATTTCTCTTTTGAATAAATACGGTATACACAGCATTTAATAAAGGGTACGGGTAATAATTTTTGTTAAATATAAAAATGTTTACATTTTTTAAAAATATTTTCAATTTTCTATTTTTTGTCAAGATTAAAATATGATTAAAACACTGATGTTACAAGAAGTATAAAAACGAAATTAAATAACACTAATTGTCACGCGGAAATGCTATGCACTAATTATCTAAAAACCTAACATAAAGAGCCATTAATAATTTTTAACAAATTGCCTTCATAAAACTTATATATCAATAATTGTTGGGTGTTTCGGATCATCGTACGATGAAACTGTCGTGTAGCATGTTCAAAACACAACTCTCCAGTGCCAGCTAAATGGTATTGACAGGCTATTACTTATCTAAAACCATTATCTTGAACGATTATTGTTGTATGATTAAAAAGTTAGTTGTAGTAAGTGTTGTGGTTGTGCTGTGTGTTACATTAGTGTGGTGTTCTAATATTCGTTATAAGATATTTATTTCTGAGCCTATAGCTAAACTTATAAGTATAAGCCTAACTGTAAGTATATCGTTTCTAAAAATATATCTGCTGTTATTCATTTTAGAAATTTTTACTGTAAAAGAAGTTTCATACGTTTGTAATGGTTGATTATTTTCTTTTACTTATAGGTTCCTATTGTAAAACTCCTTTAATATTTATTGGTTAAAATAGAGTTTATGCAATACAATGATATTATTCAATTATGGTTATTCAATAACAATTCAAGTTATGCAATAGTTATTTCATTACGGATTTTGTATTTAGATGGGAGGCCTATTAAATAAATATTGTATAAAATATTACGGTAAGAATAGTTATATAGTATGTTTTACTCATAATATGTCCAAAACATTCAGTGGCTTATATCCACGCAATTTTTTTATTTCTGTTGTCCTATTATTTACTTTAAAAAAATGTCTATCTCTGAGTGGTACACCTACCAGTTAAAAGGGGATTGGATTTGTATTCTTTAGTGTAAGTATACATATTTTCAATCATGGTAATTACACAGACTATATGAAAACAGATAGCTCACTCGGCCGAAAACAAAGGAAATTATTGAAAAGATTGATTAGGAACTCGCAAAGATATCAGTGTAGCCGCATGAATTAATATAAATTATTGTGCAGATATTTTACAATATTATTGTACAAGCTCTTTATCATTCATAAGATTTAAATGATAACTGACTAGATTATCATAGATTAGATAATTTATTTTTATCTAACCTGTGGTAATATTATGGAATTTTATGTCTGAATAGGCGGTGACACTGATTTTATTTTGAGTTATGTGACGTCATGGTTTTTGTTTACACGAGAAGTGAATTATCTGTTTTCTTATAGTCTGTGGTAATTATCGAATTAAATTTTTTTTAAATACATTTTAACATATAGATCTACAATGGATAACCATTTAACATCTTCTTTAGCTTTTAACTGTTGAAGTTCCTTTTTTTTAATACATCCCTTACGAAGCAAATGACTTTTAGATTTCTGGCTATTGTTTGTGATAGGCATTTTCCTATAATAATAGGTATTAAAAGTGACCTACCTATCTATAATAATATGGTTTGGTATGTCCTAGAAAAAAAAAAATGTTATGTCATTAAGTAACAGTAATTTTTTTTGGAATAATTCAACTTGGGTGAAAAAATATAATTGTTGAGATCTTTACTTACTAAATGTTTTTTCTAAATAAAAACATGTTTCAAAGTTAACGAAGTACTTGTTAAATATTAATAACTCACCGGAAATCGTTAATAATTATAAACTTAATAATTGTTCGACATTGAAATAAATCGTTCAACTAAAAATACCATTGTCAAATTATTATTATCAATACATTTTTGATAACGATAATTAAATAACATTTTTTCAAGGTCCATTATAATATTAAAGCAACAATATCCGTACTACCAGTTTGTGAATGATGATTAGTATATAAATATCCATAAACGCATTGTTTTTTCATTATACCGGTACGAACGGTAAGAAGTTACCAGGTAACAGCATTAATATCCACAAGAAATTGTCCACCTCTG